ATTAATTTTACCTCAATAGTTCGTCGTTTCTCATCCACTTCAGCAATTGAGGTTTGTAGTCGAGAAGTTAAAACTTCACGGTCAAGCAAATTTTTTTCTAATACCAATTTGCGCAATTGCTCTAGCTCACAAGAGGTCAGCGTACGCTCATGTTCGAGCTCGTGAAAAGCCTGCCGCTCGCGTCGTAAGGTCTCTCTCATTCCTCGCAAGCATTCACGATAAACTCGAATTTCCTCCATCTGGCCTTCCATTAATTTCGGAAACGTAGAACTCTTGCTGTCTGACTAAAATAGAATAAATAAAAATTTTGCGTCATTGATTTTTATTGGTTAGTTAGCCCACTGAAATACTCTAAAAATGAAATATTTTTGCAAGCTAGTACCAAGTTATAGATAATTTAAGGCTATGTTTAGATGTAATTAATTTTGTTTTTTATATAACTCGAAAACGTATCTTATAGCCCACCAGTTATAGAGAGAAATTAAAGTAGGCAAGATAGATTTTCAGACAACAGGTATTTATAGTAACTTAGGAGTTTTGAAATAGATCATTCTATAAAATGATTTTGGTTAAAACGTTAGCAGTCTTTTTTAACGCAAATATGTCTCACTGAAGTTTTGCATCAAATTTCAGTAAGGATGCTTCTTGAGTTTTATATATAAGCTGATTATCTATTATAAGCTAATGAATAAATACCATACCTAAACCAAAATATTTATAAAAATCATAGAATTACACATATTCACACAGATACTGCATGATTTATTGTACGATACTACCAAAATATGGGACACTTTGGTACAATCTGTATGCTTTCATGTCCACCTCATTACTTCGGCAGTTAGTCTTAATTAAGGCATCATTAACAAAATATGAGTTTTAAACATCGAAAGATAAAAAGCATTTAATCATAATAATAAGGTTAAATAAAACAATATACTCAGGTTTTTGTGTGGCATGGCAACACAAAGTTAGTATTGAAAAAGTAGACTTTCAAAATAACGAAATCCAAACAAAAAATTAAGCATAACTTAGCATAACATTGTGAATCTAAAACGCGTACATATACAAGAATAAATTTATTAACCTTTTCAAGAGCAATCGCTTGTATGGTATTTTGCTCTTTTAAATATTTGTTTTCTCTGTTGATTATACTACACTTCTTCCTCAATTCATCGATTTCACATTGTTGATCAATAATCTTCTGTTTCTTACTCCGAAGCATTTTTAGTAACAGTGTGGAACAGCGGTTAGTCTCCTTCCTCCAAAAGTGTGAGCCCGCGTCGAGTATTTTCTTAGACAAGTTGGCAGAGCTATCTCTTCGTTTTGCAAAAACTACAATGTAAAACGGCTTTTAAATCAAGTTACTTCTAGATTGGGGCAAAGCTATAGATTTTATTAAGTTAACGCGATGTAATCCTCTATGGGGCAAATTCATTTCATTTGTCATTACATCAAAAAAAGATATATTCGCTCTTAAGTTTCATCTAAAATTTGGTTCTTTTTAGCTTTGAGTTAAGGTAAACCTAAACAAGACGGACAGGCCACGGAAATCGATCACTCGGTCTTCTGAGATTTCAAAACACCTCCAAAAAACATGGTAATATCAATAGCTGTAAATAATTTCTTAATTTTAGTAATTATTAAACGATTTATTAATAACATAAAATAAAGAATTACATTGTAGCAGATTACTTGGTCATGGATTTACCACCAGCACTTAGTTTGCTTGCCTCGGTTGTATCCGTTGCCTCTAAGGCTTGTGAAGTAGTCCGAAGCGTTCTTATCTCTAAGGATTTGCAGATTTTTGAAAAAGGAAAATCTGATCTTCAAACAAAGGCCGATAGAAATTCTCAGCTATGCATTGTTCACTCCTTGAAATACAATTTTCCCAGCCTATGTGTGATAGGTAATCTCGTACGTGTTGTTAACCTTTATAGGCGAGGAGGGCGAGCTGCAGTCCAATGACGTATCTTTATGCAAGGATTTGGATAAATATGTCTTGGCGCAAGACTGTCCTAAGGAATTTTCTGATAAGAAAATAGGTGACTTTGTCGTGTGGGTCGACCCTTTAGACGGCACAAATGAATTCGTCCAAGTAAGCGCTTCGATTGTATTCTATTATATTTCTAAATAATCTTACAGTCAAATGCTTTGGAAGCAGTACAAATGTTGAATGAAAACAGTACTATGCTGCTTAGCATGTTCTGCTGC